CACTTTTATCTGGGAAACGCGAGATTAACTGGGAAAAACTGCCGTATTGCGATGGTGGCGTAAAAACTGAACATGTTGGTTTTTCTTTGTGCTTTCGGGTAGCCTAGACATTAAAATTTTGAATACGCAGCGTCCACGTCGTCTGTGCAAGCCTCATAGATAGGTCAAATTACGCCCTTCAAAAATCGCACACCCCTCGAATTTCCACCCAGAACTGGAACACCACGCTTGCCTTCATTCTAACATAAACTGGGTATTCTCAACCGTGAAAAATGAACCATTGGGGGACATCATGCGATCGGATGTTAAGGACGTGGCCGCGAATAACAATACTAAACAATTATTTACCGATGTGGTACCGAGAAGGAAAGTGGCACGACTCACAACGAGGTTTTATACATTTCCACCCTATATATTACTTAAAAGGCGACAGGGCACTAGGCAATTCTATCCTACGAAATTCATCAAGTGAGTGCCAAAACCAGGACCAACACAGTTTTATTGCGCGTACAAACACAGACTGGTACCAAATGGTGTCATTGAAAAGCAGTCTGTGAAGGCAGTCTGTGAAAATGGCCGTCAAGTACCATCTTTAAAAACGCTGACCCCGGACCTTTTTATCATCATTTTTTTTATTATCTTTTGCACACTTGCACTTTGATTATCTTAACATTTTCACCTGCACATCTGCCGTGATAGGATATCCCCTTCCCAGATACATATTAACACGATTAAAATTAGCAGAGGCAAAATACACAAGGTTGCGTCCCTAAAAAAGTCGATAAACGGTCGAGGGTAAAGAATAAAATGTAGTAAATATAATAAAAAAGTGAGTAATAACAAAATCAAATGATAATCATTTTAAAAAGCAAAGTTTCCCTTTATTCATTTAAATCTGCTTGTTGCTTAGCGCTTCATTTTTGGACCGACTCAAGAATGTTATATGTAGAGAAAAGGCGGGAAAATACGTCGCAGATAGCAAGCTCGGCCTGTCTTCGCAGTAGTCGAAGTATAAGACACCATTACGTCAACGTATTGCGCAAAAACAAAGTGGCAAAAAGTGGTAAAAAAATTAGTCATTTGCAAAGAAAAATCGGAGATACCAACTTAAAGTTAACTTAAGATGAGCTGATTTTCCTAGTTTTCCTAAGAAATTATCAAAATTCAATCCATCGATCACCATACTCAGTATTTACTATCAAAGGGCTTTTTCGTGTTGAGCCTCATCACGAGTTCACTTTTGGATCTCTAAAAGAAAAATATCACAATGGTTTTATCAAAGGAAAAACAAAAATCATCAGTCTTTGGTCATTTTTGGACAACACAGGAATTGAACAGCTCAGGGGCACCTAACGACGATTTTCTCCTAAATGCAATGAAAACACTCTTTAGAAAATCCAGAGTACTTAAAGATCTTTAAAAATACATATTCTAGTTAGCGCTATAGTCATCCTAGGGCAACTTGAGTCTTTTCGAAATTACCAGGGATTCAGCATTATTTTCCCGAAAACTTTAGATGCAATTTAAAGTTTTACGAAAGTGAGAATTTTTCTGATTCCTCTTTCCATCCCATTTTCGAATCCGAAAATGTTAGGTTTCCTTTTTCTGCGAAAAATAGCGTAATCTGGGGAACGAAATGTGAAAAATTAAACTTCAGCAAATCGTAGGGAATTTATTAGATAAGCTTCGAAAATAGTAGGTGAATAAAACGGTCATCTAGAAATTCTTAGCCCTCCTCAAGGTATAGAAAATTCTGGGCAATTTTTGCTTCTCCGAACCGATATTTTACAGAAAACTGACGTTGGGTGCCCCTGACAGCTGAAGAAGAGCTAGAACACATAGCCAGATACAGTAGCAAGATGCATACGGTGCAGTGCTGATCAATAGTGTCCATAAAGCGAGGTTAATGATAGCATTTCCAGTCACTCGAGCCACATAAAACTGATAAAAGTATCCGTTATCCGTATCAAACCGTACGGAGGGTTTATTTATAAGGGATATGAGCCTTCTGACAGGACAAAGACAACTGTCCTTTATTGACCGGGTTTTCCAGCCAGCCTCGTACTCAAGCCACTTTGCGCTATCCGAGCTACAAGAGGAGGCTTGGAACCGAGCGAGGCCTTACGCAATTGGTTTACATGACCGGAAATAAAAAGCTGACCCTAAAAGCTGACCCGATGTTAAATTTTGTGCTCATGTGCAGTGCGTTTTGCCGCGGTGTTGATAGGCCTAAGCGAATAGTACATTTTCGAGTTCGCTATGACCGCTGAATTAAAGAAGTGAAGACGCATTTTTTACAACCTTAGCCTCAATTTGAAATAATATATCACAAATTCCAACGAGAAAAAGACCTGTTTATTACTCTGTCTATTGTGTATATTCAAATTTCAAACACTTACTTGCTAGAATTTCTGAATATTTTACTTTACGTCAGGCTAACCCTGTATGAATGTGTCGTTAATGTTTATATTCAGCGGTAATTTTTAATTCAAAACTGGACTATTTTCCCGACAAACTTGCCAGGTGACGTCACATCCGAAATCGCCGAGGACGACTGGGAACAAGGCTGCGGGTTTCCTTAATAAACCGGGGTTAAGTTGACGATCAAGCTCTTACGTATTTTCTGTCCACATGCCGTGTGAACATAAAATACAAGAAAGGGAGTTTTTTTAGTAATCTGTTCTATTGTTAACACTTAACGCGTAAAATCTGTCGTAAAGTTAGTCAACAGGTTGCTGTTCTCAATCGTCTGAAGAAAATGTTGCCTTTTGAATTGAGGACAGACATATATCGAGTTTTCATTGCATTGCATTTTTATTACTGAACGAGCCCTTCGCTTTGTGACCCGTGACAAGTCAACCATTTACGAGACGTTGCTTAAACAACTAAACTTGCTGTCCCCACTTAAAGGGACAGTGTCCCGATTTTGCGCACGCACGAGCGTCATCTGTTTTTTTCTTCAAAAGACAATAGAACTGTCATGTTGACTCGACAAGATTTCCTTCCGGACCGCACCGCCGACGGAGATTTGTTGTTTACAATCTCAAGCAATATTTTAGACTTTCGAAGAAGTTTTTCGTCTTATTTAAACTTTAACTCGCGGCACGAAGACTCATCGCGATTTTGTCGCTAGCAGGGTCGTCTAGCGACCCGACTGAAATCTCGTTCCGCTCGCTTTAAAAACAGCTTTTCTAATGTGAAACTCGTGTTAGAGGTCAATTGTTCCAAGTCCAGTAAAATTTGCCTGATTTGCTCGCGTTTTAGCCTCAAACGTTTGAAGGATATATATAAAAATGTAATTGCAACGTGATGAATAATCGCAAAGGTTACTGAGTCAAAAATTATATTATGATTTCATTGCACTAGTTTTTCTAAACATGTAGCGCCTGTTTGTTTGATTTTGTTGGCCGTGGGAAGGTTCCTTTAAAAGTTTACTAACGCGTCGTTGCAAAACATTCTGCTTCAGGAAGCTTGATTCCACAAGATCTCCTCAGTCACATCAAGGTCTCAATGGTTTCTTTCTTACAGTCCCTATTGTTGCTGTTTCATTTCTGCGAATTCCTTTCACAATTATCTAAGCTTGTATGGAAGCTAGCAGAAGAAATAAGCCTTCAATCGCCATAAAAGCGCTTCCCATCTTTCTCCTCCGGCCAACGGCAATAAAAGTAACGCCAAAAAATCCCGATTTCGCCCAAATCGAAACTAAACGGGAACAATATATCATTGATCTGTAATCCTGAGATGTTTTAGTGTAGTATCGAACTCGGCCAAGCGCGATGCAACGGATTTTCCAAGGTTCTCTTACTCTCCTCGCATCTTTTGATTTCGCGACATCCTGTCCCAGAAATCAAAGTTTGGTGCATGCGCAGTAACGGGACACTGTTCCTTTAATCAAAGAATTATTAAAATGATAGACTACGAGTACTCCCTCATTTTTCCTCAGGGATAGTAGAGCGAGCAAAACGCGAGCGCGCGTGAAAACCACCCCACGCGAGAAAAGGCGACACGCGGCGGGGAGAGAGAAATCCCCGCCACGTGTCGCCTTTTCTCGCGTGGGGTGATTTTCACGCCCGCTCGCGTTTCGCTCGCTCGCTCTATTATCCCTGAGGGAAAATGGGGCACTACTCGTAGTCTATTAAAATGATTACCGGTGTTTAAAAAGCTATCCATGAGTTTAAAGTTCCTAGAGGGATAGGAGAGCTATTGCGTAAACGATCAACTAATTATAATCTTAGAGGAAAACACATCCTCGAGCTACCCAAAGTAAATACAATCACCTATTGACTTAAATCGTGGCGTTATACTACAGCAAAGATTTGGAAGACCTTGGAACGCTATTCGGGATCATTTTCGTGCCGCTAATAAAATTGGAACATTTAAGAACTTGATGTCTAAGTTGGATTTCTCAACTTTGTCTTAGCTTTTACAACATTATGTAATAATCTAGTGATCTACTCTAAGTTTTAATAACTTTTAACTGTGTAATATATATTTTTATATAGATTTTTAATGAGAAATCTTCTCTTTCTATTATTTTTATTCCTATTTTATTAATTTATTTAATTATTTATTTTTCGTGGCATGTCTGTAAAGAAGCTAATTAGCTAAGAACATTGACCACCTTAAATAAAGATATGTGTTGTATTGTACAAACTCCCATTCATTTAAACAGTGAAACGTCACTTAGCTTTCAAAAAGGTCTACAGGTCGGCCATTCCCCTTTGTTCTTTTTATCGTTGCACATTTTAAGTGATCTTTAGGCACCTGTAGCTGTCAGCAGTGCTTTCATGTTCTTCTCCAAACAGTTTAATACGGATAGCTAAAGCACGCTGGTGAGATTGTAGAGCTGCGCTGTAGTCATGCATGTTGTATTGTGTTACACCGAGTTGCCTGTAGCTGTCAGCAGTGCTTTCATGTTCCTCTCCAAACAGTTTAAGATGGATAGCTAATGCATGCTGGTGAGATTGTAGAGCTGCGCTGTAGTCATGCATGTTGTTTTGTGTTACACCGAGTTCCCTGTAGCTGTCAGCAGTGCTTTCATGTTCTTCTCCAAATAGTTTAATACGGATAGCTAAAGCACGCTGGTGAGATTGTAGAGCTGCGCTGTAGTCATGCATGTTGTATTGTGTTACACCGAGTTGCCTGTAGCTGTCAGCAGTGCTTTCATGTTCTTCTCCAAACAGTTTAAGATGGATAGCTAATGCACGCTGGTGAGATTGTAGAGCTGCGTTGTAGTCATGCATGTTGTTTTGTGTTCCACCAAGGGCCATGTAGCTGTGAGCAGTGCTTTCATGTTCCTCTCCAAATAGTTTAAGATGGATAGTTAACGCACGCTGGTGAGATTTTAGAGCTGCGCTGTAGTCATGCATGATGTATTGTGTTTCACCAAGGGCCATGTAGCTGTGAGCAGTGCTTTTATGGTTCTCTCCAAATAGTTTAAGATGGATAGCTAATGCACGCTGCTCAGATTGTAGAGCTGCGCTGTAGTCATGCATGTTGTTTTGTGTTCCACCAAGGGCCATGTAGCTGTGAGCAGTGCTTTTATGGTTCTCTCCAAATAGTTTAATACGGATAGCTAATGCACGCTGCTCAGATTGTAGAGCTGCGCTGTAGTCATGCATGTTGTTTTGTGTTCCACCAAGGGCCATGTAGCTGTGAGCAGTGCTTTTATGGTTCTCTCCAAATAGTTTAAGATGGATAGCTAATGCACGCTGGTGAGATTGTAGAGCTGCGTTGTAGTCATGCATGTTGTTTTTTGTTCCACCAAGGGCCATGTAGCTGTGAGCAGTGCTTTCATGTTCCTCTCCAAATAGTTTAATACGGATAGTTAGTGCATGCTGGTGAGATTGTAGAGCTGCGCTGTAGTCATGCATGTTGTTTTGTGTTCCACCAAGGGCCATGTAGCTGTGAGCAGTGCTTTCATGTTCCTCTCCAAATAGTTTAATACGGATAGTTAGTGCATGCTGGTGAGATTGTAGAGCTGCGCTGTAGTCATGCATGTTGTTTTGTGTTCCACCAAGGGCCATGTAGCTGTGAGCAGTGCTTTCATGTTCCTCTCCAAATAGTTTAATACGGATAGCTAAAGCACGCTGGTGAGATTGTAGAGCTGCGCTGTAGTCATGCATGTTGTTTTGTGTTACACCGAGTTTCCTGTAGCTGTCAGCAGTGCTTTCATGTTCTTCTCCAAATAGTTTAATACGGATAGCTAATGCATGTTGGTGAGATTGTAAAGCTGCGCTGTAGTCATGCATGTTGTTTTGTGTTACACCGAGTTGCCTGTAGCTGTCAGCAGTGCTTTCATGTTCCTCTCCAAATAGTTTAAGATGAATAGCTAATGCATACTGGTGGGATTGTAGAGCTGCGCTGTAGTCATGCATGATGTATTGTGTTCCACCAAGGGCCATGTAGCTGTGAGCAGTGCTTTCATGTTCCTCTCCAAATAGTTTTAGATGGATAGCTAATGCATGCTGGTGAGATTGTAGAGCTGCGCTGTAGTCATGCATGATGTATTGTGTTCCACCAAGGGCCATGTAGCTGTCAGCAGTGCTTTCATGTTCTGCTCCAAACAGTTTAATACGGATAGCTAATGCATGCTGGTGAGATTGTAGAGCTGCGCTGTAGTCATGCATGTTGTTTTGTGTTACACCGAGTTCCCTGTAGCTGTCAGCAGTACTTTCGTGTTTTTCTCCAAAGAATCTTGTTGCTATGTCAAGCGCTCGCAGGTTTGACTGAAGTGCCTCTGAGTAATTATTTTCTTGCTTGTAAACATTTCCCAGGTCTATGTAGCACTTTACAAGTGCTTCAGTTTGTATTTGACTATAACGGCTACCGCCATATTCATCATTAGTGAGTAAACTTTCTTGGCATTGCTGGAGTATTTGTTCATGATATTTGATTCTTGACCAAAAAAAATTCACAGGGTCTTCACTATTTAACTCCCACAACAGTTGTATCACAGCTCTATGAAAAATTAGCAAGCCAGGTGAAATTCTAACCTCTTTTTCGAGACACTCTAGCATCTGAAGAACCAAGTTGCTTGAATATTGCTTGGTTTTAGCGTCGGAGAAAACCTCTGTAGCTTTGCTTAAGAGATAGGCAAAATTAAATTCAAGCGGTTCATTGAGTAAGGTGTCTGACATCTTTCCAACTTGAATTTCATCCTTGGCGTCCTTTGCTTTGCCTTTCGGTGGCGGAATTATTAGCAGCTTCCAATCTCCCCCTGCAGAACACAAATGTAGTGATTTGAAATAGAAGTTATTCGCATTGTAGAAGTCATTTAAGGCCTCATAATAGCAAGCCAGGATCTGAAAAATAAGAAGCTTCAGAATTAACGATTCTGGGTCCTTGCAATTTTCCAGTGATGAAAGCGCCTCTTTTAAGCACTGGACTCCGCTCTTCGATTCGTTTGCGGTAAGGTAAAAAATTCCTAAATAGCTCAAGCATTTGCCTTTTTCTTGGTTAGAGACATCGGACGATGCTGCTTGCTTTACTTTTACTTTAGAGAGAAGATGATTCGTCTGCCCTGCTCGTCCCCAGGTTACCTCGCCAAAAGCTTTTGAAGAAAGTAACTGTCTGTGGTATTTTTCCTTTCCATGCTGATTGGCTGCTTTTATGGCAGCATCGTACATGTAATCAAAGTTTTTCCCGTCACTCCAAAAAAGCGAGTCAAGAAACAACTCCCCCTTGACCAAAATTTCAAAGACAGTGTCAGCTATCTTGAGATCAAAGCATCCCTCTACGAGGCTTTGAGTAATGCTCTCTTTGTCCTCATAGAAAGCAACATATGCAGCCATGGAATGCCCGGTGAGAAATTGTTCATTTAGGTTATCAAAGTGCGAGACATAGAATGCATTCAAACGACCCTTTGCGTTGAGAATCGTCTCTTTCATGTCAGTATCTCCTTTCTGTCTCGTAAATGATTGCAAGAGTTTGTGCATCGTGAAAGTCCCGGGTTTAGTGCTTGAATCAATCAGTGACTTCCTCCGAAGACTTTGTAACATTCTCTTGGCTTCGAATGCGGTTTTCTTACCTAAAACGGCTGCAGCGACTTCTGTACTGAAATTCTCGGGGAGAATGCTTAAAGAAATTAATGATTCTTGTTCCTGCTCAGACAGTCTCTGGAATGAGGAATCAAAGACGAACTTTAATCGATGACTGGTCGGATAATCTTGGTTGTCCAAAACTTTGACGATACTCTCTGAGGAAGATGTCATGAAATTATCCAGAAAATGGCGCGGTGAAGCACTGTCTTCAGATATCAAAGAACACATTAATTTCATGGCTAAAGGAACTTGTCCGCAAAGTTGTGCGATTTTTCTGCAGTCTGCAACGCTCGCATGTGGAAGTAACTCATGAATTAGCGTTTGAGCAGAGGCTTCACACAATTTTCCTATTCTTAAACCTCGATGGCCTTGAAAATGGACGTCCATAAACTCAAGGGACTCTCTTGTAGTTACAATGAATGTCACCCTTGGATTTTGTCTCAGAATTTCTTCAAGAAGTTGCATGACCTCTTCCTTCACTTTTGGCCGACCACTTTCTAACAAATCATCAGCATTATCTAGGATGAATGCAGATTGTTTTGATATTTCACTGAATAGTTGGCAAATCTTATCATCAAGGGATAGAAGCTGATCGGACGGTTGTTTTTCTTGAATGGCTGGTTGCGTTAGAAGACTAAGAATCTTTGAAGTCAGATCCGCCTTTGACTGAAGTCCTCTCAATGAAACCCAGTACATAGGCAGCCCTTGAGTCTGAAGAGCGTGTCCCACTGCAATTGCAACCGACGTTTTTCCGAATCCAGGTGAACCCCAGATCGACACAAGTCGGGTGGATTCGGAAGTGACATATCCGATGATCTCTTCAACCTCGCTCTGTCTCCCAGTGAAATTAGGAACCATTGAAGGAAGGTAGGCTCTCGAGAGCGACGGTCTCATACCTTTGATGATGAGAAAAGACCAAAAGTGAAAAAGAAATCAGTTAAAATCTTAAAAAATAAATATATAAATAAGTCAATTTTGACCCGTCATTCAATGTACAAATGATATTCTTGCAGTGAATTCAAATCCCTAAATTTTATATTTATACGAAACATGATGATTTAGGAAAAGAGTTTTGGTTATGACATCGACCCAAGGCCATTCCTTCATCTTTTTATATTAAGGAATCTTATAGTTCTTTTTTTTTTTCATACATAACAAAACCTTGAGAAAGATGTTCTTCAGGCAGTGTCTGGCAGGCGGCTGAAAAGGAGTCAACAGAGTCAAGAGATGCTCTACCATTGAGCTACAGAAGACTTGTAGGTGCAAACAAACCCTAACTGGAAAAAGGTGTACTCTCCGCGGCTTAGACTGTTACCTTTTTTAACTACGTTACAATCTGAAGGCTCTGATGAAAAAGAAAAAGTCAGGATTTGAGGTTGTTTCTTGTAAATGGGATTAGCTGAATTAACCAGTCCACCGTAAACTGACCCTTCGGCTGGAACAATTTCTCAAAATCTTACCTGAGTTGTCAGGTAGATTATCATGTTCGTCTCTTCCTACTTTCAATTCATCAATCTTTTTTTCCAACCTAGTGATGTCTTCTTTGCTGGCATTATCCACTTCGACCTGTTGCTTTAAATCACTGATGTCTGAACTCAACCTCTCCAGACCTTCTCTAAAGTCCTCGAGACATTTGACGTACGCCCGAGTCTCGTCTCGGATTCTTGCTTCCAATTTTCGAACTTCATTTGTGGGAAAGTCTGACTCCGTCAAACTACCAAGTGCGTCAATTGAAGCTGTCGGGACACCAAGGGCTTGAAACGCGTCTCTGGCGTACTTCACGCGCTGGTCAAATGTCGCTTTGTCCATCTCACTACTGATGGAGTGACACAGGGAATTTCTAAGAAGGCGGAGCTGGTCAATGGCAAGTGCAAAGGTCTCTGCCGTGTTTCCACTGGGGCTGACCACACGTGCGTGAAAACTACCATAAGGTACTGCACGGGGCTTCACATACAAATCACTTAGTGTGGTGGAGGAGCCTGTACTGGCTGGTGGGGCAAAGGACCGCGCAAATATAGTAGCCTGGAACAGGTTGGTACAATCCCATTCGTTGTAGGACTGAAGAACAGGAACTTTAGTCTTCTTGCCACTTTTTGCTTCTTCAGAGTCGAACATTTTTCTGACAGCAGTGGAATCATCCCAGAGCTGGAAACCAGGGAGATGTCCATACGTGTTGTCCCACATTGTTTTAAAGGTCTCCTGTAAGGCTTTGGGGAATTCATTTAACACTAAGGACGAGAACTTAAAGAAATTTAATTGTTCGTCACTAAATGGCTGCAATGCTGTCATCTCCACTTAGTAACCGCAGTAGGTGAAGGAACTAAAATTGACCAAAGAAAGAAATTATTAACAATTAAACTCAACTCTCCTTCATTCCCAAAAATTCTGTTTTTTTTACAGTATATTTCGCGATCGCGTGCTTTTCGGCGACCCCATACGACTTGGGACGCCACAACAGATAGCCTTAACATTGCCTGCTATCAGAGCAAGAAAATTGTCGACGAGAAATGTCTCAAAAGTAACTGGGGGCAGACAAACAGACAGCCAGTTTGAATCAAATAAACTGACTTTCAGTGGGGGCCTGGTGGGGTACTTTAGCAAGTTTTGGGCAGGGATATGTCGCTGATCCTCTGGAAACCTTAGCCTATATTACAGGGGCACCCAACGGCAATTTTCGGGAAAATATCTGTTCGGAAGACGATTTGAGATCTAGAATTTTCGGAGCATTTGTTGTAAAATTTCTTGCTTGCCTGCCTCTCCTAGGATTTTCGAACATCTACAAAGTGGTATAATTACCCATTTTAACGGATTTTGACCCTAAAAAAGGCCACCTAGAATTTTCGGGAGTCTTTTCCTAGCTGAAATTTTCGAGAAGGTAAGTTTGTATCCCTATAATTTTCGGATCACTAGACTTTCAGCTAGGAAATCCGAACAGATGAAAAGTTTTTAGGGGATGAAAATATGCCTATATCTACCGTTTGAATACTAAAATACGTTCAACAATGCTATGTTAAGTGGTTTTGAACTATATTCTCGTTGGGTGCCCCTGATATTAGACCTGCTATCCTGTTTCACTATATTTCCATATTTCCCATCTATCGACGCTTTGTTTACTATCAAACTGACTCGCGGCTAAATTTAAATTACCAATGTTATTATTGAGTTACTTGTCAATTCCCGGTTTAACAAGTCGAAACTGAAATCTTCAATTAGCCTGTGTAGCTGGCGGAATCGTCACGTCAGCACGCATCAGACGCATTGTCGCGCGCGAGAGAATAGCGGCTTCGCTGCCAAAACCTCACTCGCATGTTAATCCTCAATCAATCGATCAGTTTTCTCGAAAATGATACCCTATTCTAGACACATACTTTCTGATTTCTATACCCTATCCCAGAATATACTCCTTGAAAACCATACTCTTTCATAGCGGCACATTCCTATTAGTACCCCATTTATGGAAATAGCTACCGTGAACAGTTGGATGCGTTATGCATAATTTATTGAAGTAAATTAATCTAGACGTTTCGTTTGTGTATTTCGAAAACTACTATACAGCGGTTGTTCTTTTTGGTTCATGATAGTAAAAACGTTTCCACTAGTTTCTTCCTCGTCTCAGTCTCCCAGAAAAGATAGTTGCGGGTAAAAGTCAAAGAAACCGGCACAATGCGTGATTTGATTTCATGATAAATCAAAGGGAAGGAGGAGCAGGAATTTCTATTTAAATCAGTTATGCAACAGGACTTCCTAAGTTACATTAGGACTACAAATAACCTTAAAACTTTGTCGCATTTGGAGATTCATTATATATAGGGCTGCGAATAAGTCACTACTGATTCATTACAGAAGTTGATGGAGCTTTTATGATCAAACCCAATCGAAATGAGGTAAATAAACATGAGTTATTTCCTTATGCATTCAGCATGAATTGAGTATCCGGCAGGCAAAAAACGAACTAAAAAGTCACTTCACAGAAACGGGACCACGTTTGCTCCATTCAAATTGTATTTAGAGACATCGAAATTGTTGTCCTATTCAAGTTTTGCTTCGTTGATAAAACTGCCGAAACAGCTTCACTTTTTTCCGCATGCCCCTTTACGCAAAACTTGTATCTACTGAGTTGATAATGCGAGCCTGAACTAAGACTTTCAAGGTCAGTTTTCCATCCGTAGCTTATTATCGGCGCTATGAAACTGTATTTTGTGCACAGGTGGCTACGAACTTGTCTCAACATGTATCACTGAAGCACCACTCCGTCCTAAGAATTCATAATTTCAACAAAGTTTACCTTTAAGACATCAACTCTTCGTTAGAAGCTCACCGTCACTGCATCAGCCTCAAGATTGTCAAATTCTTAAACCGAGTACGAATAACAACAGCACACAATCACAAACGCCGATATTTCTGTACCATGTTTGTGAACAGCGACCAAAGGATGCGTAAGATTTATTAGACAAGAGCAGAAAATTCAGCAAACTCCAATGACGTCAGAGACCGCAGAGGCAATTTGGGCCCATTATATTGTGTATTGCGATCAGTGAGGTGAACCGCAGAGGTGGACTAGACTAGGAACTCATGGGTTCCTAACCGTGACGCACAGACGGGTATTCTGAATTTGCTCCAAAAAGGGGGCCTCCCTGGGGAGGAGGTTGCGGCTTTGCAAGTGGACGACAACGCGGACCCAATAAGAGTAGAGACAGTAGACGAGGCCAGAGCAAGCGAGACAGTTCAGGACTGGAACAATTATTGACTGTTCCTCTGACATATGGCTGTTAAGTCTCATGTCTTGATCCCTCCACAGTATGGAATTCCATCATTATATAACCGAATTATATGGCCAAATTTCAATTGTACGGTTTGACGTAGACTAAGAACTATGTAACGGCCAACGTAACCTTTCAGTGATTTCATTAAGTTTTTGCACTGTGTTCTGATACGCCGGTTTTAATAGATCCTTTCCGAGCTCGTATTGTACTTGTTGCGACAATGTGTAATTAGAATTTTATACTCTAGATTGCTGGGTAACATTTTACCCTCAATTGTACTTTAAGTGTGTACTCGTTTTTTATCACTTTTTTATCAATAAAGCGGGAAAAAAGTTCAGAAATTCCAATTCTTTATGTTTAAAAAGGAGTAGGTTCTCTTTTTAAACAATTCAGCCCATTCACTGGGAGGATTCTATAAAACAATTAACCTGCCAGCAGAGTCTTTCTTATTTGCTTGATTTTGACGATCAAGAAGAAGACTAAAGGATGTTCTACAAGTAGGTTGTTAACTGAAAATAAGGCACTCGCAATAAATATTAACAGAAATTCCTGGCTCGGTTGTTTATTCAGTTCTGATTGCATGGTCACCGCGCATTCAGTTTTTAGGAAAGTACAACGCAGTTTGCATAGTTCAAATTTTTCGCAGAGCCTGTATCCTGAATTAACTCAAACGTTCATTTCACGATTATTTTTTTCTACCTTTATTCCTTCCTGATGCTCAGATCACGGTTTGTCCGTCCCACGTCTATCAACACTGTTATGACAACTCTTACCACTTCACTTCTCTCGCCCGGAGTTACAACTTTTCATAGCATCTGAACTAAAAAAGGTTGGAATTCCAGCGCGAAAGGAGCAAACAGATCGGTCTTTCCGGTTCAGGTCCCGGGGGGGGGTACTGCCATATATGGGCTATATAGGTATGTGCCGCTGTGAAAGGTATGGTTTTCAAGCAGTTTACTTTAGGATAGGGTGTATAAATCAGGGCGTTTGGGTCTAGAATAGGGTATCATTTTTCAGGAAACTGATCAGTTGGGTGAAGATTTTATCTAGACTGGGGAAACAGCTACTCTAGGATAGGGGGATTTTGGGAGTTTACTCTAGTATAGGGTAGCAAAATTCAGCTGAACTAGCTCTGGTATAGGTCAAGGGTTCCAGGGTCCCAGCGGCACATCCCCACCCAGAAATTCCTAAAGTGCCCCCCCCCCCCGGGGTTCAGGTTTAGCCTGCGTTGCTGGCAGTTTTGTTTTTCGAGCGGGAAAATGAGCGGGGGAAGCCAGCAAGAGAATGCAGCGGATACTTCTTCTTCCGCTCGTTTGCCCGCGTTTTGCTCGCGGCTTCACCGCTCATTTACGTGAGAGAAGAGACCACCAGCTACACAACCTACACGTCAATTTATATCAGTTTTATTACTTCATCTGATTCTTGCTGGTAACAAAGAAGCAGTCTATTTCGAATCGATCTCTCTGACCTTTCTTTTCCGCGCCTTTCCTTAGTCTTCTTTATCTCTGGGTCTTCAGTGCTGGGTTCCTTTACCGAGGGTATTCAGCCACATGTAGGGCCCCTGGCTTTAGTTCGTCGCTTATGAATCCACAAAATCTCTTTATTTTTCTAACCTAAGACGCCTGATTTTCCCGATAGAAACTGTTCAGGAGGAAAACCTTTTTTTTCTTTTATAAAGAGATATGTTATCATTTACTTCATCAATAAGACTGATAAGGAATACGACGTGACTGGATCCCAACCGGAATAACCAGTCAATCGATCATTTGCGTTCTAATCAGGGGCGTAGCCAGGATTTTTCCAGAGGTGCGCATATTTTTCTGCTTTCTCCTCCATCCCCTCCCACCACCACCACCATCATCACCACAAAAGCCCAAATATTTTTAATTCCTTGATTAAAGATGAGGTTACGATGTAAGCTTAACCGTTTTTTTCTGTATATGAAATGACGGTTTTAAAATTCTTTGTCGCCTTATTGGGGTCATTGACTTAAAGTTCTTAAGTTGGTATCTCCGATTCTTGTTTGCAAATGACTGATTTTTTACCCCTTTTTGCCACTTCGTTTTTGCGCAACACATTGACGTAATGGTGTCCTATACTTCAACCACTGCGAAGACAGGCCGAGCTTGCTATCTGCGAGGTATTTTCCCGCATTTTATCTACATATACCATTCTTGAGTCGGTCCAAAAATGAAGCATTCCTTTGTTTTAGAAAAATATTTTCAACCGCTAAGCAACAAGCAGATTTAAATGAAAAAAAGGGAAACTTTGCTTTTAAAATAATTATCATTTGATTTTGCTATTACTCACTTTTTAAATTATATTTACTATATTTTATTCTTTACCCTCGATCGTGCATCGACTTTTTTAGGTACGCACGCTTGCGTATTTTGCCTCAGCTAATTCTAATCGTGTTAATATATATCTGCAAGGGGGTATCCTATCACGGCAGATGTGTAGTTAAAAATGTTAAGATGATCAAAGTGCGAGTGCTCAGAAAATAATAAAAAAAAAAATAATTAAAAAGTCCGGTGTCAGCGATTTTAAAGATGGTACT